CAGCCAGATCTGCAGGAGAAGACCTGAACCCAACCGGGACCTTGGGCCAGTGCGGCAGTGGTGGCTGTGCAGCAGAGGAGCTCTCTCCGGAGCACTGTTTGGAGGTGGGAAGTGTTTGCCATCTGCTGGAGAGGTTCCCCACTGCCCCAGCCCCGCTCACAGCCCTGGGTGACCCTGGGCACAGCTGCCTGCGTCAGAAGCAGGAAAGCAGCACCTTTCCAGGTGGGAATAGCTGGTCTTTCCCACGGTAGGACACCCAAGCTTGCTTTGCTTTTATGTTATGAGGCAGCCTTGGGCTGCCAGGATGTGATGATCACTGAGGAAAGGTTTTCTGGGTATGACTTGGGGTGTGCAGGGTTGGGTGTAGGACCCCTGTGCTTGCTGCGGAAGAGCATGGGTAGGGAGTGAGGCAGGGGCTGCAGGAAGGGCTGTGAATCATAGAACAGTTAGGGTTGGAAAGGACCTTAAGATTATCCAGTTCCAAATCCCTGCCATGGGCAGGGACATGTCACACTAGACCAAGTCACCCAAGGCTCTGTCCAACCTAGCCTTGAACACTGCCAGGGATGGAGCATTTACCACTTATCTGGGCAACCCATTCCAGTGCCTCACCACCCTCACAGTAAAGAACTTCTTCCTTATATCTAACCTGAACTTCCCCTGTTTAAGTTTGAACCCATTTCCCCTTGTCCTATTGCTACAGTCCGTGATGAAGAGTCCTTCTCCAGCATCCTTGTAGGCCCCCTTCAGATATTAAAAGGATCTGGAGGGCCAGTCTACCCCATCTTGCCTTTACAGTATGGGCATATCCCAGCACTGACCAGTGCTCTGGGGAGCATTGCGTTTGCTTTCTTGATCCCTAAAACCCCACGGCCTGACTTCCCGGCACCACGTGTCCCTCCAGCAGAAGCCAACAGGAGGCAGACTTCTCCAGCGCAGTGTTCCACGCAGCACCCAGCACCCAGCACCGTCCGGCGCTGGGCATCTCCAACCAATATCCACGTTTTCCTCTTCCTTCGTCTGAGCCCCAGCTGCCGTAGCTGAACCAGTCAGGCAGTGCCATAGCTCCAGGCAGGTTGGTGCTCAGGACTGAGGGCACCTCCAAGAAGACAAAGGAAGCCTGTGTCTGGCCTTAGGGGTACTACCATGTTCCTGTGAGGGCCACATCCTGACACGGCAGCTGGCCACTTCTGCAGGCTCTTGTCCAAAAGTGAGGCTTTTCTAAGCCCCCGAGATTTGTCTTGGCAATGGAACAAACTGCAGCAGTGTATTTCTGCCTTGCTGTGTGCTTAGAAACTGTTGGTGTCTTTCTGCTGACATTTACTAAAAATGTCCATCTGGAGGCATATTATGATGCATAAGTTTCAGTCCAGGGATTTCAATGCAATTTCACAAACTTCTCTATAGACCTCACAGTCCTGTAGGACCAGTCGTCCTGGGGAATCAAACACAAACAGTCCCAGAGCATGTACACTAAGGAAGGGTCCATTTTGCCCAGCCTTGGTACCTCCAGATGTGGCTACATACAACAGACCCCTTGAAGAAAGAGCCAATATTTGTGCTGCCTCCCACAGGTGCTCTCCCAGCCTCCAACCATTCTCATTCCACAAATCTTGAGCTTATCTCTATGAAATCCAAGCCTTGACTCAGACACATGGAAATTTCCTTGTGATCACCCCATCCCTTGGCAAGGAGCTCCTCGCATGAAGAGCTGTTGCCTTGTGTTCATTTTGAACCAGGCCCTTGCCAGCTTTATTTGATGGTCCGTGGTTCTCACTCTGTGAGAAACAGTGCATAATCAATCGCTATGTGCCACTCTTTCCAGGCCCCTCATCATTTTGCAGACTTCACTTCCTGGAAAGTCTTGATCCCTCTGGAAAACTCCTCTTTTCATCTGAGATTTTGCTTGTCTGTCTTGGAGCCTCACCCTATGATTGCTGACTTCCCTCCGTCATTCTTATTCTATTTCCAGCTGATTTGGGCCCAGTTAAAAACAACATTTCCCCCATCAGGGATCTGGCAGCTCCCAGGGCACTGTGACAATGTGATCCCCCAGCCATGACTCAGGGCTGGTTGGTGGAGCCTGCTGCCTTCAGGGCTAAAAAAAGATGTCCTCCTGCATCCCAAATCTGTTCTGGTGATGGATTTAAAGATACCATGTGTGGTTTCTATCAAAAGCTGAAACACACCATAAGGGAGAGGTTTTAGAGACTCCATAAATAGCTCCTGTTTAGGATGTAGGATATGGAGGAGGTTTCACAAATCAAAATATTTAGAGATTTGCATTATTTGTCTTAGCAGAAAGGGGCAGCTAAGACTGAAATACAAAATCTTCCTTCAAGGAAAACAGTGAATAGGGGGAATAACAGAGGTGTCAAAACCTCCAAAAATTCCTTTTGCGATGAATGGAAGCAGAAAACACAGCCCAGCATATCTCAAAGGAGAAAGAATTCATTGAAAGTGTTCAGGCACATTTATATTCCTGATGGAAAATATTGATTTTTCAGAATGAATCTTGACATTTCCATCAAACCCATATTTGAATATTGCAAGAACATCCAGAACATTCAGCTAAAAGCAGCTCCAAGCTGGGCTGTGTTGGTGTGAGCTGCATCAGTGAGGGTGTCCCGAGCCTGTTCTCCTCCTCTCAGTTTTATTCTGGTCTCTGTGTGGAGATGTGTAACAGGAACGCTAAGATTGCTCTGAGCAGGGGATGTGTGCAAATATTGGGTCTGAACGCACTGATAGGAATGGCAGGAGCAGGGGAATGGAAGTGGTGGACATCGGTGGCACCTCAGTTAGCAGGTCACCAACTGCATTGCGATCACCTCGCCTCAGCTTGATCTCAAGCTCATCCCTTTCCATGTGGTTTCCCAGTCTGGCAGTGGGATCTGTCTCAAAGCCTGTTTCTAGCACCCCCACCCTCAGTCTGCCATCTGCTGCCTCAGGCAGGGGTGCTGGTCTGTTACCTTGGCCATCAAGCTGCCATGTCTCTTGTCTCAGGCAGCACAGCCATGGCTGGGACAGCCCATGGAGACAGGGGTGTGCATGGGTGCAGGGTGAGGGGAATTGCTGTTGGTGCGTGGCTGAACTGGGTAAGGGTTGGAAGGGAGTGGCTGCATCTGCCGCCCCACATCCTGGAAGCACAAATGCACACGTGTTGCAGGAAGAGCTGGAGCAAGGAGGCAGAGTGCAGAGGTGCCGTGGGTTTGGGATCATGGCTCAGGGGTTGGAACTGGGTGAGCTTTAATGTCCTTTCCAACACAAACCAGTCTGGGATTCTATGGTTATAGAGCAGTCAGGATCCCAGATGAATCTGAAGAGCCTCAGCTGTTCAGAATGGGGTACCATAAGATACCTCTGTCACGGGCAAGTAAAACCTCAGCCTTGATTTGGGCTGTCTTAATTCAGTCTGTGAGTTTAACCCTGTGTATGATCTGGGATAGCAGCAATCCCATCAGTAGGGAGAGATGCAGAAAAGCAACTGGCTATGCTAAATCCTTCACTGGTGCAATGGCAAAGCTGGGCACTGTGCAACAATGGCTGCAGAGGATGCGGGAGGCTGCCTTCTTGCTCTGTGATAGGAGGTGCCTGTTCCTGCTAAGGAAGCATCTTTCCCAAAGCCTTGCTGGCAGTGGGTGCCCTGGGATCCCAGGGCTCTGCAGGCTCATCCAGGCTCCCAGCTCCATGGCAGCAAGGCACCCACGTGTGTGTGGTCTCACCCTGGTTCAGTTTTGCTTATGCGTAGTAACAGTGTTGTAGTGAAACAAAAGGCTCTGTGTAAACAGGATCCTGCACTGCCACCTGGGCCACTCTTCCTGTCGAGTCTGGCTCACTTTTTCAATCAGTCTACTGAGACATGGTGATGGTATGTCCTTGGGAGTCCCAGGCTGGAATCAGCTCTCCTTCAGCTGCTCCAGGGAATCTCTTCTCTTCTACTTCCTCCTCTGGGTTCCTACAGGGCCACCACTTTTGGCAGCGGTTTCACTTTTGTAATCATCCTCCTCCATAGAGGAGTTAGATCCCTTTCTTCATTGGACCATCATGAAAGGCAGCCTGCTTGTTTGGCTTTCCCTCTGCAGCTGTGGTTGCCCAGGCCTGGACACATTCACTAACATCATGAAGATCTTGCTCTTCCTCTTACTCTCCTGAAACTTCATCCACCAGCCTTTGCCCAGAAGCCAGCAGAGCCCTTCTTTAGGGATTCAGCATTTGATAAGTGTTTTATCTGCCAGTGCAGTGACACCATTCCCATCCCAAACATGAGCTAAACCAGCAAATCTCTTCTCTATGTGTCTGTGGCTGCTGGGGAAATGACAAAGTAGGTCAGGAGAGGGTCGATTCTACACTCCTGGAACCAAATAATCATCTAAGCCAACTCTGCTGTGCCAGCACTGTAATGGGCTTCTAGAGCTCTTTATAAACACTAATGGCCGATTCTCATGTCCATGGGTAACAGAGTGCTCTTTTAGCTGTCACTGATGTTTATGAAACTGCAATGTAGCAACAGAACCAGTTTCCTAATGACTCGCTGCAACTGATAATCAAGGACAGAAGAGGAGCCCAGACCTGGGAGGGTACCATGCTGTACCCTCTGCTCTGCATGTTCACATACTGATGGCCTTCTGGATCCCATGGAGAAAGTCTGCACCTCCTTGGGGCAGTGCTGCAAGCAGGGCAGACTCATGCACTCTCCGAGCTCCAGTTGCTGTGGGAGAAGTGAATTGCCCTAAGTTTGTCTGTGATGTAGATATTCTAGGAAACACAGTGGGTAGCAGCCACAGCCATCCTCCACCCATTGCCATCATGTCACTTCTGGGTAAGAGGGTCATCTACTTATCTTCTGAATTGTGCCTTCTAGGTTCTCTACAGAGTCCTTTGGTCAGGAGTAACAGGAAGAGAGGTCATATCCTGTTCTCTGTCATTTTGTGGTATCACATCATTATATGATATGGCACATCGGGCACTGCTGTTATTGGGGCTCTGGGTACTTCACAAGAACCTCTGACACAGCACTTTTTCCACTGTGTCATGTCTTTCAGCAATGTTTCTGGTGTGTTTCCGTCCTTGCTCACTGTCTCTATAAATGCGCTGAACCCAGGAATCCCACATCAGGCACAGCAAGACCTGCAGCAGTCTGGCCTGACTCCTATAATTTATCAACTCCTACGGTTTATCTCCACCCAACAGGAGCATGAAGACCTCCACAGCTGCCCTTGCTGTACTCCTTGTGGCTGTCCTCTGCTATCAGGTCTCCTCTTCTCCAGGTGAGTCCAAGCTCTTCTCCAAGGAGCTCTCTTTTCTACTCTTTCTGTGCCATATAAAGTTTAGTAATGCTTGACAGCTTTCTCTTCCAAGCATGTCTTGCTACTCCTTGGCTTCCTGAGGGAAGGGTGGTGAACCTGTGGTGGGAACAGCACTGCCTGCAGCAGGGACCCTCTGGTCTTCTGACCCTGCTTCTCCCCACTGCCGCTTTTCCCAGTCTGGTTTCATCACAAAGCTCAAATTCTCTTCCAGGCGCTGTCAAGTTTAGTCGTTCCTGCTGCCACCAGTATGTAACCAAGGAAGTTCCCTTGCACCGCGTGGTGGCGTATGAATATGCGGGCAGGCACTGCCACCTGCCAGCCGTGATGTGAGTAGATCTCCTGCCCAAATACTGGCCACCCTGCTCCACTTGAAGGGTGACAGTGCCAGGAACCTGCACAAGTCCTAGCAAGGGAATACACCAGGCTGGGTTCTCCCATGCTAGAACAGCCTGGAGATACCTCAGAGGCCAATCCCACATCCCAGGCAGCCAGTTTCTGGACCTCCCTATTGGATTTGAGTCAAAAGAGCTTTTGCTGACCACCCCTGTCATGCCCAGATAGTGGGACCCAGCCAGGATGGTGTCCTGCCTGGACTAGGCAGGCGAGGACAAACGGGCTTAAGTGGCAGGGAGCAGATTCCCTGTAATGACATGAAGCCAACCCCCTAGCCCATATTTCCCTGGGATTCTGCAGCTATAGAAGTGTCCGGTTTGCTGGAGTTCATGGGTGGCAAGGAGCAGGCAGTTCCCCTCTTCTCCTCCTCCCCTGCCCTATCCTTTCACTGGATTTCCTTCTGCAGATTTATCACACGGCAAGGCAAGGTCTGTGGCAGACCTGGTGATAAGTGGGTCCAGGACATCTTGAATAACCACAACAATGCAGGCAGTGGATAAGCAACACCCTGCTTCCTCCAAGCATCACCTCAGCAAGGACCTACTCTCATGGGCACCTCTGAGACACATCCCTGTTTTCTTATTACTCATGAATTTGGCAGACTATTTAATACAGTGGTCAGCTCTTTTATTTAAGCTTATGCAAAAGCAATTTTAATTTATTTGGCATTTCTGTGGAACTTTTCATTCTAATGTATTGACTGTGTTGAAGCTATTTTTGTATAATAAAAAGGAGCAAAACCTCCAGTGGCTCTCAGAATGCTTTGCAGTGACTGTGCTGGGCAGTGGAGGCTGGGAGCAGGTACAGGTTGACACTAGGTGGGTCTGTGGGGCAGTGTGATGGCTCCTGGCTGTACAACCCCCAGTCACGGTGGAGCACTGCTCCTCCTGCCTGCTCCTGGCAGGTCTGTGAGCATCTCCCTGTGCTTCGTACCCCTTGCCTGCCCTATGGCCAAACTTGCAGCTCTCAGGTGGGTGGGTGTCATGGGAGATGTTTTGGTGTTGTGCACTGAGCTCAGCCAGTGCCTTTAGACAGCTTGTGAGCATGCAGCGGGCAGGCAGCACTAAGGGCAGAGGGTTAGGGTTAGGGTTAGGGTTAGGAAGGGCAGAGGGCAGGCAGCAGTAAGGGCAGAGGGCAGGTGGCAGTAAGGGCAGAGGGCAGGCAGCAGTAAGGGCAGAGGGCAGGTGGCAGTAAGGGCAGAGGGCAGGCAGCAGTAAGGGCAGAGGGCAGGCAGCAGTAAGGGCAGAGGGCAGACAGCAGTAAGGGCAGAGGGCAGGCGGCAGTAAGGGCAGAGGGCAGGCAGCAGTAAGGGCAGAGGGCAGGCGGCAGTGAGGGCAGAGGGCAGGCAGCAGGAAGGGCAGAGGGCAGTTGGCAGTGAGGGCAGAGGGCAGACAGCAGTAAGGGCAGAGGGCAGTTGGCAGTGAGGGCAGATGGCAGTTGGCAGTGAGGGCAGTTGGCAGGCAGCAGGAAGGGCAGTGAGCAGGCAATGGCGGGGCTGTCATCGACACCATGGGTGCTCGGCTCAGCACTCCGTGAACACCGTCCCTTCTGCCACCCAGTGCCTGCGCACGGGCTATTTCTGGCGCTTCCCAATTTATCACACTCTCCCGCTCCGTTTCTCTTTCCCTGGACCCATGGGGCCGGAGGAGCCCCAGCGTTCCGGGCTGGCCGCAGCTGTCGCTGCCACGCTCCTCCCCCAGCCGTGGAGGAGGCCTCGGTGGCGGGTGCCACACGGCAGCCAGGCCACTGCTCCCTGGCGCTGCCGGCTCGCCAGCAGCCCACCAACCGCGCCGACCGTGGCGGGAGGGAAGCACCTGGCAAGGCCACAGAGGCCACGATGGCGCTGGCGGGGGCCCTGGAGCGGCTGCAGGAGGAGGCCATCTGCCCCATCTGCCTGGAGTACATGAGCGAGCCCGTCAGCATTGACTGCGGGCACAACTTCTGCCGGGGCTGCATCGCCAAGCACTGCCAGGAGAAGGGTCTCTGGGCGGACGGGCCCTTCTCCTGCCCACAGTGCCGGGCCTCCTGCCACCGCAGCGGCTTCCGACCCAACAGGCAGCTGGCCAACATCGTGGAGAGCATTCGGCAGCTGGGGCTGCGGGGCGGGCAGGGGACGGAGCCGGTGGCAGGGACCCCGCTCTGCCCCCAGCACGACGAGCGCCTCAAGTTCTTCTGCGAGGAGGATGAGGAGGCCATCTGCGTGGTGTGCCGGGAGTCCCTGCACCACCGCCTGCACACCGTCTACCCCATTGAGGAGGCCGCGCAGGTCTACAAGGTAGGGGAGGTTGGGGATCCCCATCATGCTCCGATGGACCCTGGGCACAGGGGGATCAGCTGCCAGGACCCCACTGCCCCATTCCCTACAGCCCTGGCAGCACTGCCAGGACAGCAGAGGAGGGGTGGCAGAAACGGTCACCTTGGTGGAGTGGTGCAGAGCTACTGGCACCCAAACCCCGTGTCCCAGCATCCCAGTAACACTCCTGGCAGCACTGAGGGGGGCAGTCACTTTGCTCTCCAAAACCTACACAGTAAGAAAAACATGGGGAAAACCCGAGGAGCACAGAGAGGGTTAATGCTGGGCGCGGAGTGAGGAGCGCAGCTGCTGGGTTTCGGTGCCAGGGCCTGGCTGGCACCAGGACAGGAGCCAGGCTGTGGGTGCTGCTGGGGCTGAGCCCGTCTCTGTGCTTTCCAGGTCAAACTCCAGAAATCCTTGGAGCATCTTTCAAAGGAAGCGGAGGACGTTAGGAAGCGTGAGTCGGCAGAAAGGATGAAGACCCAGGAGTGCAAGGCACGTGTCTGGCTTAAGCCTTACAGAAGTGACCTTGTGCAACTGTAGAAAGATTCAAGAGGAAAGAAGTGCTTTGTGAAGGGCAGCTGCCCCGAACCCACAGGGTTAAACTAACGGACACTGGCTGTTTTGTATTTGCCCTTTGTTTTACAGTGTGTGCATGAGTTAGAAGCCAGGCATGAGCCACAAAGTGAGCTTTGCTCCACAGCAGTAGGAACTATTTTCGTTAAGGAAAAGAAAAGCTGAATTACTGCACCTCTGCCGGACTCCAAAGCAGCCCAGGGAAAGCAGACACCAGCAAAACAGCTGCGTTTCACATCCCTCCAGGAGCAGGGAAGTGAAAGTAACTGCAGAAAAGGAAGCACGGGACCAAGTTGCCCAGCTCTGAGCTGGAGCTGATGATTAATCAGATTAAACTGGTTTCTCCAGTTATCTGCTCAGCCCTGCTGCCTGCCCACAGCCTGGCCAAGCTCTGTGGTGTCCCCCTTGGGTCTGAGATGGGGCCGGGGATGGAGGCAGTGGATGAGCCATGTCACTATCCCCTGTTCACCCGAGCCAGGGTGTCCCTTGTGAGAGGTGGGGGGGAAGTGGCTGTGACCATCCTTGCTTATCAAACCTCTGTGACTCAGGTCCAAGAAATCATGTGCTTGGACAGAAAAATAAATGCAGTTCAGCATCCTTTCACTTACCTCCTGCAGTCTGAGGTTCCATGACCCTCGCTATCTGCAGCATGTTTTCCTGGTGCTTTGGGTTTTGAGCCAATTTATCGGGTTGAGAAGAAAATCCCTAACGCACCAGCAAACCATGCCTGTTGCTGTTTCCCCACCCTGGCCTGTACTGGGACACCCTGGCTCGCCCTTTCCATCCCTCCCCATCCCTGGGGCTTCTTCCACCTCTATCCCTTTGGAAAGAGGTTAACAACCCTTGGTTACCTTGTTTCCCTTGGTTAGCAGCCGAGTCTTTTTCCAGCCTTTCTTCTGGGCTGCCCAAGCAGTGGCTGTGTCAGGATATAGCTAGAGGTACAGGTTGTACCACATCTAATACAAACCAACCCTGATAGCATCCCCTTGCACCCCAATAGACCCCAGTGCTGCATCAAGTCAGTTACACACCTGATGTCCAGCTGAGCAGAAATGCCCTGGACAGTCCTACTGCTGATAAACTGAGTCTGTGGAGTGGGAGCTCAGCACTCGGCCTCTGGCTGTTTTTTGACTAAATGCACTTAACAGAAAAATGTGGTGGTTTCCCAGGGTCTGACGCTGTGCTGGAGCATCCGGCCCCATCCTGTCTGCTGGCTAATATTGCCTGTCTTCACCCCATGTTTCTTCCTATCACAAGGAGACAGTGAAGAAAAAGCGAGAGAGGATTGTGAGTGAGTTCGGGAAGCTGCATCGGCTGCTGGCCGATGAGGAGAAGCTGCTGCTCCAGAAGCTGGAGGAGGAGGAGAAGAGGATTCTGCTGTTGATCAATGAAAACCTGGCCAGGCTGGTGGAGCAGAAGTGCTTGCTGGAGGAGCTGATCCTGGAGATAAGGGAGAAGATCCATCAGCCAGCTGATGGGCTGCTCAAGGTCAGGCTATGCCACCAGCCCCACTAACTGCCTTTGCTGTCTGGGTTGGTGGCCAGGGTCAGACTGACTAGAGGGCACAAGGCTCTGGAGCCACACACCCAGAATGGTTTTTCTCTTTTTCTAGGACATGAAGAACGTCCTGTGCAGGTAGGTACCCATGCTCCTACTGTCCTGGCTGCCCCAGGCAGGGGGGATGCAGAGGGATCGTAGATCCCCAGACTGGCTTGGGTTAAAGTGACCTTAAAAGCTCCTCCAGCTCCAACCCCTGCCATGGGCAGGGACCCCTTCCACTGGAGCAGCTTGCTCCAAGCCCCTGTGTCCAACCTGGCCTTGAACACTGACAAGGATGGGGCGGCCACAGCTTCTCTGGGCACCCTGTGCCAGAGCCTCAGCACCCTCCCAGGGAAGAGCTTCTGCCTAAGAGCTCAGCTCAGTCTCCCCTCGGGCAGGTTCAAGCCATTCCCCTTGGCCTGTCCCTACAGGCCCTTGGCCAAAGCCCCTCTCCAGGTTTGTTGTAGCCCCTTTAGGCACTGGAAGCTGCTCAAGCTGGTGGTCACACTTATTAGCCTTGCTGATTAACAAGCAGTTACCCCTAGTGCTCACAGTCAAATAGCTGAAGGGAGAGATGCATCTGTGCAACGGAAAGGCATTAACCCCCCAGCAGGAGACTGGCAGTGCTGTAGGCTCTGGATAGAGTCCATGGGCATCACTCTCCTTTCAGGTGTGAGGGGGTAACGTTCCCATCCCCCAAGGCTGTGTCTGTGACCCTGAAGGAGGACTACAGCATCCCAGAGCGCTGCCTGGGCATGAGGGACATGCTGAAGAAGTTCAAAGGTAAGGTGGCTGCTTTTGTGCCAGCTCCTGGCACGCCTGGGTCCTGGTTCACCCCCCTTTCCCACCCATACCCTGGGGCTTGGGGAGTTTTTGTCAACAAGCTTTGTCCAACTGGCCCCTCTTTATTTACTGGTGAGTTCAGGCTGGTTTCATGGAGGGGAGACCTTCCTCCTTCTGCTCTTGGATGGGTTGTGAGGCGACCCTGAAGTCTAGGAGGTCACTCAGGAGTTTCAGGCTCCGCATTGCCCCCGAGCTCCTGCTGTCAGTGTTGGTTGGTTGTGAAGCTGTGCTGAGGCCAGTGGAGCCATTCTCATTCTATTCCTGCTCTGCAGCTAGATGCCAAATGCTTTGATGTGCTTCATGGTTAGCATGATCTTCTGTGTCGCACTTTGCTGCTGGGCAGCGCTAGGAGCTGTGCAAAACCATGGGCACAAGCAAATAAATGTGGGAGGTGGGAAGATCTGGAAGACCCCCCAGGTCCAAGTTTCAGGCACCTGCTCAGGTGCATGCCTGCAGACCTCTGAAGCCCCATTGTCCTTCCACCCTTCTCTCGCTCCAGTGGATGTGACTCTGGACCCTGAGACGGCGCACCCTGAGCTCACCCTGTCTGATGACTGCAAGAGTGTGCGGCGAGGGAGCAAGAAGCTTCTTCTGTCCCTCTTTGACAACCCCAAGAGGTTCAGCACGGCTCCAGTGGTGCTGGGGAGCCAGGTCTTCTTCTCAGGCCGCTGCTACTGGGAGGTACAGGTGGGAGACAAGCCAGAGTGGGGTTTGGGGCTGTGCAGGGAGTCTGCCAGCCGGAAGGGAAACATCCTCTTCTCCCCTAACAACGGCTACTGGGTGCTGCGGCTGCAAAATGGAGGCAACTATGAGGCCCTCACCTCTCCTGTCTCCCCTCTGACCCTGGCCGTGAGACCCCGGCGCATTGGGATCTTCCTGGACTATGAGGCAGGAGAAATCTCCTTCTACAATGTGAGCGACCGCTCCCATGTTTACACCTTCACTGACAGGTTTTCGGGAAACCTCCGGCCTCTCTTTTTCCTGGGTGCCTTTTTGGGGGGCAGGAATGCAGAGCCCTTGGTGATCTCTTGGGTCAGGGACACACAAGGGACTGGGTGCATCATCCTGTGACAGCAGCTGCTCTGGTTTTGGGCAGGGAGCTGGGAGCTCAATCACCTCCTCCTGCGCGCAGGCCAGCACCAGGGAAATACCTGTGTGCCTTGGTGTGTGTCCTGGCAGGGTCCCTGTGTGCTCCTGGCTGCTGGGGATGACCTGACAAGTGTGACACTGCCATGTGCCTGACACACGCCATGTGCCTGACACCAGCCATGTGCCATGCCTGTGCTGGGAAGGACATTTTGCACTGGGGACATACCACAACCCTTGGTGCTGCCGATGGGGACAGGGGAGCCCCCTGACCACCCTGCTGCTTGTGTCATGGGCTGATGGAAGAGGTATGCACGCAACCTAATGTGTAGTGCTGATTTTAGTGTGAATTATTGTGGAACAAGGCAATAAAGGGTTGATGTGGAGAGCCTCTGCAATGAGCAGTGTGGTTTTCTGGCACTTCCATCTGTGGTTGTTACCCCCAGCTAATCTGCAATGTCTCAGAGGGCAAAGGGTGCTGCTGGATCTGGTCCTGCCCAGCCTAAAGAGGGTCCTCAAGAGATCCTGATGTGGCATCAGTGAGACACTGCACTGAGACGGGCACCCACCCAGAAAGAATTTGGTAGCAGCAGCTGCCTGTGTAGTTGGCCATGCTTCAGCATCGAGTCACAGAACCATGGAATGATTTGTGTTGGAAGGTACCTTAAAGCTCACACAGTTCTACTCCCCTGCCACGGGCAGGGACACCTAGAGCAGGTTGCTCCAAGCTCTGTCCAGCCTGGCCTTGAACACTGCCAGGGATGGGCCAAGGCCTTTGGTGAAGGTGAGGGGCCATCTGTGTGGGTGTGGGTGGTTGCTGGGCTGCTCTCTCTCGTCCCACAGTGGGGTGATAACCTCCAGGTCTGGTAGCTCCAACTCCTCCACCTCCGCTCACAAAGCCACAAGGGTGGGAAATCTCTAGGTGTGGGAAGTGCTGCGCTGCTGACCCCAGGACAGGGACACTACAGGGGCTGCAAAACTCTGGGAAAGGAAAATAACCCGTTTCTGCTGATGTCTCCAAATTCGCCATTGATCTCTCCTTCCCCTGAGACATCCCCTGGACCATCCCTTCTGCTCCAGGCTGTATTGTTGCCCCAGCCTCTTGCCTCAGTCTGCCACCGTGTTTCCAGAGGAAAAGCTCTCAGGTTCTTAAGCTCCTCTGTGGCATCAGCCAGTTCTAGTCATCTAAACCAAAGTGCTGTGGTACACAGGGCCAGGAGACAGAGACACTGCCTGGGGGTAGGTGGGGTGGAGGCAATGCCAGCAGCTGTGTCCTGCCCCCTGGAGCTCACCCTTCAGACAGAAATAATGAATCTGCTTAATTTAAAGAGTTTAATTCAAATGAAATGAGACCTGATAAAGCATGGTCTTAAATGCTCAGCACGATTTCTCTGGGGATGTCCTGGGTGGTGCTTTAGGAGTATCCCAGTGAGAAATGATTCTAGACCTGAGAAAGCAGCTCCTCTCACCTTGAGTTTCATTGCATTTTGGAGAGTCTCACCCCTCCACCTTCAGCTGCAGGCTCTTTATTTTGGAGGCTGTGTGGCAGGGAGAAGAGACCAGCTAGAAGTCCCAGGTTTGCCATGTCCCAGGAAGGAGAAAGGCAATGGGTCTTGGTGGGCTCTGCAGCCCATTGATCTCCATGGAGATCTTACAGGGGGAGTTTATGGAGCCTGGGGAGATGAGAAAGGGCATGAACCTGGAGATCTTGTCAGAGGGCTGGAACCAGAGGCACTGGAGGGTGGGAGTGGTGAGGACAGCCAGGAACCTGTTGTGAAAGGTGACAGTTGGGAAGGGACAGCCTAATTGTCACTGTCCAGAAAGCACGAGCAATCTGACTGTGGCAAGCTGACAGATGAGTGGCATCTGCTGTGGCACCAGGGGGGTGAAGAATGTTTCCAAAGAGGTGCGAGGAAGTGCAATATTTCAGAGATCTTGCAAATGGGAAGAAATGAAAGAGCAGGAAGGATATGAAATCACCCCAGTGCAGCATCGGAGGCATTCCTAGAAATCGTGAATCTGCCTCTCTCAAGAAGAGTAAAGGCTGAAAGCATGAGATAGCTCTGAATAGGCTATGAAAATTTCTGTCTTGCTCTCCACATCACGTGCAACTAAGATGCTGCCCAGGGCCGGTACCAGTCTGCTCTGAGATACCCAGTCTGAGTGGTAATGGGCATCTAGAGAAAAGCCAGCAGCTGGCTTTTAGAGCTCCCTGGTGACTTAAAGCTAAGTTGCTCCTAAAGCTATTTGCAAACAAGTTTTCTGTTTAAGTCAGGCCAAGTTGAACTGGCCCCTGTACTTGGTGGAAGTGCATTTACTGCCTGGCTCTGGCCCTTATGCAGATCCTACCCAGCAAGGACCAGGTCCTGCTTGGACCACTCACCTCTGCCATGAGGGAGATCTGCATGGCACAGCATGGTCTGACCCAGGCATGTGGATCTTTCTGCAAGTGCTCCTGCTCCCCAGATACCCGGCAAGCTGGTGATGCTCACACAGCCTCATAAGGTTATTTATTGCCAAAGGGGCTGATCTGTATTTGCCAGGATAATCACAGTCACACCATGTCCGTTTGGTTTCTGTATGCTGAAAGGAGGTGGGCACATGCATATGCATATACATATATTTTACAGGGACATTTTTGGTTGATAGTCTCTTGCTCTGGTGAGTCCCAAACTGATCTGCTCAAGATGTCTGGTGTTACTGAAGGTAACAGTCCCTTGGGATACCATGTCTGGCAGAACAGGCATGGACAGGATCATCAGGGGGATGTTTTTCTGAGCAATCAGTAGACTGATGTCACATTTTTGGGCTGGGGCAGTTTGGTCACCTGGAGGCATGGACAGTGTCCCCTGCAGCAAAATTTATAGACCTGAGGCTTTAGAAATGCACTTTCTCAACAAATATTAGTTTCTTTCTTTCTCTTTTAGAGCAGTGAAAAACGCTTCGTCATCTTGGGGGGATGTGAGCAGTCATTTCTGTCTTTCTAAGAACTGAGCAGAAGTGTTCTTGGTTGCCACTTCTTCCTTCTGCTGGCTGTTATGTGGAAGGTGATGCACAGCACCATTTCTAGCATAATACTTCCGTGTCTTCCTCAGCCCTGGAAGTCTGGAACATATCACTATTTTGAAAAATATTACTTTTGTACGCAGCATGCAAAACCATCCCCTTTTACATGCCTTTTTTTGGACGCTGGCCTCCCAAAAAAAGTATTCCTCATCTTGGTGTCACTGGGAAGAGCTGTTTTGGGTGGCGGACTGAGCCTTGCTCCCTGTAGCAAGCCAGGGCCCTGGTCCCTGGGATAGTGGGGAAGGCACAGAGCTGTAGCTGCTGAGTGCACTGGCATTTTGCCTTCAGGATGTCTAATTCCTCTCTGACAAAAGTGGAGACGTAAAAGCCATCAGCCCATGATCTTTGACTGCCACTAATCCCTGCCTCACTGAGCCCAGCCCAGCTCCTCCTTCCATGCCAGACTGACCTCCGGCTCTCCTGGCTGTCGGTATACCTCAAAAAGCCTACAGACACACTAGGGTGATACAGACAACAAATATATAGAAATGTGCATGTCTATTATGATAATGGTGTTGTTCTTATCATAGTAATGATTTATTTTAGTTCACCGCTTGGCTTTCCCAGGGTTTCATTAAAAATACTTACTTTTATAAACATCGCACAAAATGCTTAGTAAATGCCACACTCTAGTTTCAGGATTGTCATTTAGTAGTTTACAAATTCTGAAACCCTTGACACCATCATTCTTGTCTTAGTCTGAATCTAAAGGAAACCTCCTGTACGCCTCCCTCCTCTTGGGTCCCAGTATCCCCAGTATGTGCAGAGTAATTGCTGGGTGCAGATTTGAGCTCATGGTGACACAGGTACTGCAGACTCCTGACCACTTCCCTGCATTCCTCCTCCTCCTCCTTTGCAGAACATGGTGGCTCTGAAGATCTCTAGGAATGCTTTCTCCATGCACCCACTGCTTGCTGGCTGGCCTTGGAGGCAGCTACTAGCTTGCTCAAAGCTGCTCTCTGCCTTTGCCTTGCTCGTGCAGGCTTCATTCACACCTCGGTGCTGAGGGTGTGGGTTAACAAGAGAGCTGTGCTCCTCACATGCACTTCTCTGAGCTGTCACATGTAGGCGGGTGTAAGATCAAGAAAGACATGAGCAATTCAGGACTCCCTGCAGGCTCCCTGAATAGCAGTGAGGAGTCAGCTGAGGTACCCAGGGTGGGTGTCTGCTGTGGGTGGCTTGAATGTGACCTGGCTTCTTAAGGATTTTGGTTCATGGGGTTGTTTGCAGCAGGCTCAAACAGTACATGCGCTGGGTTGTGGTCCTTGGCTGACACTGCACTGTGTATCCTTCAACAAGAAACGCCAAGGCTGCTCCCACAGGGACAGATGGAGCTTGTACCCAGGAAGAACTGTAGAGGCTCAAGCCATTTTGGGATGACCACGTTGCAGGTCTTCCAATTCCTGTCCTCTGTTCCAGCTGTTCCCTGGAGTGAGGACAGCTCTCGGCACTCACCTTTGTGCCAATCCCAGTCTGTCCAGGGTGAAGGTACATGGCTCTGGCACTCAGATATGGGGCAGGCTGGTACCCAACAACCGAGGTGTCCTTGGTCTCCAGCATGGCCATGATGAGCCTGGCGCCCAGGACAGGCCATGGGGCATGTGGTGCCTGGGGAGTCAGGGCTGTGACCAGACCTACTTCCCTCCTGCAGAAGCAGCTCCTCATCACCAAAGCACAGCTGCCTTCATGGTGATGTCCACCCGAACCTCCTGGCCATCAGCATCTCAGGGAAGGGTGCTCTGGCCCTGCTCACTGGCACAGTTCTCCTTTTAACCTCCTCTTCCCCAGGGGATATTTTAGGCTGGGTGCAGTGAGCACTGCATTGGGATGACTGATCGAGTGCGCATCACCCTGTGGGCTGAGGAGCTGGGGGCTGCAGTTCCTGACTTGACAAGGTGCCCAACATAACTGGTATGCTCCTTGCTCCCTCAAACACCCCCTCATCTGCCTGGTCCCTTCCAGCCACACCTGAGGCTCTGCTCTCTGGATGGCTCCCACCCAGCCTCTACTCTGTGCCTGCTCATCCTCATCCTCTCCAAGGAGCCCCCTTCCTTCAGCTCTGCAGCCCCTAACATATGAAAGATGTGGAGATGCTGGAGCAAGGCCAGAAGAGGCCACAGAGATGCTGCGAGGGCTGGAGCAGCTCTGCTCTGGAGCCAGGCTGAGAGAGCTGGGCTGGGTCAGCCTGGAGAAGAGAAGGCTCCTGAAGGGGAGACCTTAGAGCAGCTCCAGTGCCTAAAGGGGCTGCAGGAAAGCTGGAGAGGGGCTTGGGACAAGGGCCTGTAGGGACAGGCCAAGGGGAATGGCTTGAACCTGCCAGAGGGGAGACTGAGCTGAGCTCTTAGGCAGAAGCTCTTCCCTGTGAGGGTGCTGAGGCGCTGGCACAGGGTGCCCAGAGAAGCTGTGGCTGCCCCATCCCTGGCAGTGCTCAAGGCCGGGTTGGACACAGGGCCTTGGAGCAAGCTGCTCCAGTGGAAGGTTGGAACTGGATGAGCTTTAAGGTCCCTTTCAGCTCCAATCGTTCTATCCTTCTGTTATTCCTTCTCTGCTCCCATGTGTCTCACTGATGTTCATGTTTGTCATCCCAAACTCAGTGGGTGAACACATGAGGTTGAGCTGAGTGCAGGCAGGTCTCTGACTTGAGTCTTCCGTTGAGCTGCCCTAAAGGCACCAGAAGTCCAGGCAGGGGAAGCCCAAACCCTTGTTGTTCATCCAATAGGGTGTGTCCAGAGCTGATCAGAGGAGCTTAAATGCCATCAGTGGTGTGCTCCATCTCCTTCAGCTCCAGCAGGAGACCAGCCCCAGGGCTGTGGTGGACATGTCTCCTTGAAGGGACAGCTTATGCCCTGGGGCTGGGGTCTGGCAGGGTGACTGCAGGGGGTGCTGCATCTCTGGACAGGCAATCCCAGGGTTGGGCAGGTTTCTGAGGCACTGAGACAAAGCACCTTTTCTCCTAAGGGGGCACATCTGCTATAAGTGAGACTTCAACGAAACACAATTTCATCTTGCAGTGAAACGTATTTTTTCCATCCTCAGCTCGGGGAATAGCTGATTCATTTTAGCTGAAGGTCTCAGAAAACTTCTCCTGAAACAGCCAGTGCATTTAATTTCATCCCCTAAAGGTAACATTATAATTAACTATAATGGGGCCAGCAATGGCATTTAACCAGTTGCCAGTAGTCATAATGAGGTAAGCACCTTATAAAAGGAATGAGCCAAGCTACCTGGATGTGATCTATGCCCTTCTCACACCTACTCCTTCGTGTTTTTTCTCTTCCTTTTTTGCAAAACAGGAATGTTCAGACAGTGAAATCCTGTGGGGGTTTTGACAGCATAGGAAAGGGAATAAAGAACATGTTGCCATTATAATAATTTCAGCTATTGTCGTTGCAAAGAATTTCAATAGAGGCAAAGACAGAAATTTTTTAGAAAAATATTTCTTTATTGAAATTTTAATTAAATATTACATCAAAAATTCAATTCATTAAATACAGAAAATATAACCTGTGCATGAGTCTGCATTTTAAAAAAATATATCTTTTAAATAATATTCTTGTTTGTCTGCAATTGAATTATTGCACCTTATCTCTCCCCTATAAAAAAAATAAATAGCAAACCACCAAAGTTACATTCTGGACCATTTTCAGTTTCTCAGCTGTCTTTAAATGCCATGCAAGTGTTTCTGATGGAGCCCGCAGATGGCCGGGGCTCTCTCATCCCAGCAATGGGAGACATGGGTGGCAGGATCTCACTGCAGCTCCAGGTCATTCCTGTACTGCTTGACCCAGTCCTGATCGGGGTCAGCACAGACTTGGCGGCCCTTCTTTGTGATAAACCTGTGGGGTGCAGAGAGGTAAGGTTTTGGTGGGAGGGCGCTGCACTGGGAGGAGCCCTGCCCCAAACCCCGGCTTTCCTGAGAGTCAGCAGAATTTGGGCACGCAGGATGCCGTGCCTATCATGTCAGGCTGTCACCAGTTAGCTTGCAGAGTGGCAGAGCAGGACTGGCCTGAGCCCGTGGACATCTTCTCCCCCCATCCCTCCCATCCCTGGGACCAGCCTCCATCCCTTCTCCTGTGAAAAGGGTCTTTCCCTGGTTGGATCCTCAGCCCAAAGGGAAAGCCCACCACCGCCCAGGAGAAGAGGACTTACACGACTGCTGGCTGGGGGCACTGGCTGCTGGTCTCATAGTACTCTACCACGAAGCTGCGGGGCAGCTGCCGGGACGTGTAGGTGAAGCAGCAGGAGGTTGGTGGGTCGGAGCCAACTGTGAAGGACAAGGATGGCTCTTGTCAGTGACAAGGTCTGGGGAGCATGTGGATTCTTTCCTTTTCTGGGCTCACCCTGAACGGACACTGACAGAGCCCATGCCATGATCTGAACTGTGCCTTTCCCATGGCAGGAGAGACCCAGTGGCCCTGAAGCCCCTGCCAGAGGATGGTCTGACACAGGAAGGGCCCCGGGGATGGAAAAACTGTCAGAAAGCACCCTGTCCCAGCAGTGACATCTCTCCTGTCCCCAGTTAGAGAGGAGGAGGAGAGCTGGACTTACTTGGTGCAGCAGAGGTCTGGTAGCAGAAGGCAGCAATGAGAATGGCAACGGCAGCCACAGAGACCTTCATGTCAGATGAGAAGTGGTGGCTGGAGCTGAAGCAGGCAAGTGGAGCTTGTCAGCCTCTTCTCTGTCTGATGCTGAAACAGCAGCTCCTCAATTTATGGAGTGAGGAGGTCCATGCAGCGGCTTGCGTAGGCACAGTGGAATTTCCACCAGAGGAGAGGCTGCTCGTGGCACAAGTCTTGTGGTGGAACAAAGCAGTAGCCCCAGCCCCGGAAGGGTGAAGCTACCCCCTTGATTCAGTGCCTTTCCAGTGACACAGGATATGAAACAATTACCACTGCTATTTGTGCTGCTTTCATGCATGCTCCTTAGTAAGAAGTTCCCCTATGGAGGTTCCTGCATTTGCCAACAGGCTGCTGTTACCCAACCTGCCCAAGCAGCTTGGAGGTGAGAGTGCACCCTTACAAGGGCTGAAGAGTATAAATGAGATGAGGCCCATTAGGGAGAAAGGGGCTGAGGTGTCCTCTGCTGTGGACTGTTCCCCTCCCACATCTGCACAGCCCATGCTGCCCCAGTAGCAGGAGATTGGAGCTGTCACCAGTGGGGTCCATGACCTGTCTGTGCTTCACATAGTTTGAAGGGACTCAAGGCATGTCCTGCAGCCATGGCAGCACTGCAGGCACCAACATGGATGGAGATATGCATGAAATAAGACTTCCAGAAGCTGAAGCACCAGGGATTTTCACTGGAAAGTAGCTACCAGCCTAAACACAGACTACTGTGGAGGTCTACGAAACCCCTCCCTGTCCCTAAGGAGGAGAGGGAAGGCCTGGCAGAGACATGACGGATGCTCTGGGAAGAGCTGAAGGCTGTCCAGCTGTGAGGAGGTGTTCATAGGAAATCATCTCTTCTCACCAGGAAGAAGATGCATTTCTTGGACATGTCTCTGTGTCACCATTTTCAACACTCCCAGCCATCCAGTAAATAATCCTGTGGTTTCCAAATACCACTCTGGAGCTGCATGGTGTGCACAGCCCACCACCAGCCACATCAGGTTAGCTCCATACAGGTGACCTGCTCTGTTCTGTGTAGGCAGAGGAGTCTGGAGGAGAACACAGTCCTGGCCTTGCACAGGAGAAGTGCCAGAGGTGGCCCATCTTCAAAGAGTCTCCTGTGGGGAGCCATGGTGGTATCTCTGCCCCTCACCGTGCTGGAGCAAATGCCAAGTTGAGCATCACCTTCCTTCCTGGCTACCCTATGGCCCTGTCCATCCTCCGCTTTGCCATTTGCAGAGAGAGGCACGTGGCAGGCTCACCCATCAGTTCAGACCTCACTCTTCGCTCTGCTTGTCAGCTTCCTTGTCCCTAGATATCCTGGAAGGATGCGGAGAGAGCCTGCCTCCGCAGGCAGGGCGCCCAGCCAAGCAGGGGCTGGGAGCACAGGGTCCAGCTGGATCAGGAACCAGCTCTGAGCTTGTGTCAGCTTACTTGGCTCCTCTGCCTGTTGGCCCAGGGAATGTAACTTGCAGATGTATGTAAGAGTGTGGTTTGCCTCTGAGCTGTTCCCTGTGATTGTACCTTCAAGCATTCATGGGTCATGTCTTGACATCTGCCACCTACAGCCATCTGGTCCTGTCCTGCTCCCAAGGCACACGATGTGGGTAGGGCAGGCAGGCAGAATTCCATTTATGGTGCAGAAATGTTCTGATAAAAAATGAGTTTCACTAAACCAGGAAAATTAGTTGGAAACCTGCACTGATTATTCAAATGTTTTCAATAAGGTAATTTTCCATTTCAGGCCACTGAAAACTTCAGTGCCTTTATACCTTTGTCAATAAGCAGATGCCAAATCGATTTGGATTGTCAAAGACCATTTTTTAATTAATAAAACAAAAATAATTCCTTAGTTCAGCTGAGTCAGTTTAGGTTTAGTTCAGCCTAGGTAATGTGAGTTACAGGAGCTGTGTAAAGGCTGAAACTTTCCTACTGCTGAAAGCCAAAATAAAACCCCAAACTCAGGGTGTTTGCTTCCTAGGGGTCTGGGTTTTGCCTAGAAACCTGACAAAGTCCCCCACTCTGCCAGTGCTTTGCAGGCTGGTTGAAGCTGGAGGCTGTACTCATACCAGTGATGCCCTGGGATGTTGCCACGTGTGCCTAAGAAGTGATCCTTACCCGCTCCACCACATTCCAGTCATTATGAAACCAGAAAGTAATTTCTTCAAGCTCTTGCCTCTTTTAGAAAGAGAGGATGTTGCATGTCTCAGATGAAGGAGCATCTAACCTGGAGGGTGCTCTGAGATGTAGAGACAGCCCTGGAAAAGTGGCCAATGTGGGCTGGAGCATCTCAGGGGGAGTTTGGTTCACAGCACAGCAACATGCTGGTCTCAGATGGAAGTTTTCCCACTGTGGTTCCAGGTGTTTCATGGAATGACAGAATCCAGCTCCAACCCCTGCCACGGGCAGGGACCCCTTCCACTGGAGCAGCTTGCTCCAAGCCCCTGTGTCCAACCTGGCCTTGAACACTGCCAGGGATGGGGCAGCCACAGCTTCTCTGGGCACCCTGTGCCAGCGCCTCAGCACCCTCACAGGGAAGAGCTTCTGCCTAAGAGCTCAGCTCAGTCTCCCCTCTTAAATCTCCTCAGGAATCATGGTCAACCTGTGTTCTACCCTTGCTCCTGCCACCAGCCCTCAGTGCTTGTGGTCAGCAGTACAGGCAATGTGAGGCGGTCTGCATGATATTGCATCAATTTACATAGAGAAATATGATGAAGCTTTTCTGCAAACCGCCCTAAAAATCCCAGGAGAAAGTGCTAAGTAAAGCAAATGCCCAAAATAAATTTGGTGATAGCAGAAATAGGGAAATTCTTGATCTTGAATGAAAGGGGAACCCTGCAAAAGACGGTGAGACTGGCTGATGTAAGTTGCTATTGATAGCTGTGTTTAATGACGAGGAGTCAGGATTCAGAAACGGAAGTGCTTAGAAATGTCCTGAGTTCAGAAACTGCATCTAGGCCAAGCTCCAGTTCCCCCTGCAGCAGGGTCTGTGCTGTCCTGCTCTGAGTGTGGGCACTGGTGACTTTCCATCAATGCACAGAAATCTTGCCCCCACCATTCTCGCCGTTTCTGGAGAAACGTTGGAATTCTGTAGGTGATGCCATGGCCCAGAACTGGCTCCAGTGGAACCTGTCCTGTGCCAGTGGCTGGGAAACACAGGTCCACACTGTGCAGGGTGAAGGGAGGTGCGTGGCCATCATGACAGGGTGTGAGCAGGGGCTGGGCACTGCTGGCCATGCTGCATGGGAGACCCCTTCGTGCTCCCTGAAATCGCATCACGCCAGGAGGATGTTTGTGGCCGATAAGAAAAATGTTATCTTGTTAAAGGTTTAATCTGTCTCCAGCAAGGGCTTTTTCTGAAAAACAAATAAAACAACCATAATTCATGAGTGAGCTTTAAGGTCTCTTCCAACCCAAACCACCCTGCGATTCCATGATTCTATGAGAAAAGCCTCCTTGCTTGCTCTGTTAGGATAAAAAGAAAACCAGTTTATAAATCAGCCCAGTGGGGCTTGTTTGCTAGTCATAATCAAGCAAAAAGGAAAAGAAACCAGCCAAAACTAAACTGCTTCCACCGTCATTGCTGCTCCTGGAGCCCAGCTCTCCAGGAGGCTTGAGTGGGCTGGCTGCGGGTGGCCTCCAGAGCACAGGGTGAGTGGCTGCACCCCACGGGTGCTTTGGGGATGTTCGAGCATCTCGACCTTCCCTGATCGCAGAGGGGGCTGAGACCAGGGTTGTTGGCCTTTAACTTGTGTCAGGGCCATTGCCACAGCTGGGGACTTCCCTGTGCATGGCCCTTGGAGCTCCTGAAGACCCTGTGGCCACCAGCAGCAGTGTGCTGGCAGGGATGTGTCAGGTGTCAGTGCCCCCCCAGCACTGAGAGGGGAGGTATGAGCTTTCCAGCGAGGTGTGAGCTTTCCGTATGCCATGGTCGTGCACAGAGACCGGCAGTGATGCTCAGATGTTTACTAGCCTCATGATTTATTTTGGGCTCCTGCAAGGCTGCAAACCACTTCCCATGCGTGTGGGCTGTTTGTAGGTTAGGGCGCTCTGCAGGCCCTGCTCCCCGTGATGTTGAGGGTTTTGGTACCCCAGATGGGCTCGTGCCCTTTAAAAGGGCCATTGTCCAGCTGCCTGGACCAGCTCTGGCTCTGCCTGGCACAAGCATTCCCTGGGGCAGAAGGGAGGGCTCAGGGAGTTCTGCCATGACCCCACAGCCTCCCCATGCGGCCTCCTGCATCCCTCTGGACTGTGCGTGGATGTGCAGTCACGGAAGGGACTTGCTGTGGATGGTTTGCTGGTGAGAGCAAGGAGAAAGAGGGGATCTCGGCTCGGTCTGGGGTCACCTTTGCCCCAGGCTGCGAGTGGAGGGACAAGGCTGTTGTCCCCAGGGCACCCTACGTCCCACAGCTCCCATCCGCTTGTGGGCTTATGGGCAAGAGAAGAAAATGGCCAGCAGGAGTGACTGGAATGGGATAATAGCCCTTTACAGGATCCAAGGTCCTTCTGATGGTGCTACAGTGCCAGGCTGGGATGGTGCAGCAATCATGGGTGAGTGGTACCCCCAGGGGAAAGCAGATGAGGCTTCTCCATCAGCCTGGGCAGAGCCCTCACCATCCCAGTAGCAAACTGCCCTGCTTCCCCCTGCCCTGGGGTATGTGCTTTGTGGCTCTTGGAGAGAGCAGGATTTCAGGGGTGGGCCCTGAAGGAGCCCTACAGCCTCTGGGCTATCCTTGTCACCATCTATCACAGGGGACAAAGACTCAACACCCACTGTAACATCCTTCCCTAAAGTCTTCCTGTTTGAATAATTGAAGCTTTCTTTTTCTACCCTGCTTGCACCAAAACAAATCTCATACCCCAGTCTGGGTGAGGCTAACATGGTAAGAATGGCTCATTTCCAGGAGTAATAGAGGAAGCTTGACAGTGATCGGCTTACCCAGACTGCAGGAACTGTGACAGCAGAGGGCTCTGGGATTTGACAGAGAAGCAAAGAGCAGCGTACAGAAGCAGAAAGATGAGAGCAGAAGCTGGCCTCAGAGGCTGTTGGGG